TGTAGCCTAATCAATTCAATATGGATTTAGTGATTTTATGCTTTCAATTAAAGTTATTTGCATGAGGAGTTTATATTATTGAACTTAATGCATTGGAAGTTTGATCACCTTTTAATTGATTTAGTGATTTATGCATGAATTTGAGAAAGAATTGCGTAGATTAGACCAATAATAATATAAACCGTGTGCTAGACTATGAGACCGAAAGGTAATTAGCTCACATGTGGTAGTGGAGGAAGAGAAGAGAGTTAGGAGCTCCCCTTTCTTAAGGTAGAAGTTTCCATAGAATTTAATGCTCATAAGTTTGTTTAAAATTACATAGAAATATGATTAATTTAACAAACAAGTGAAGGATTAATTTGACTTGAGAAAGCTAGTTAATTAATTTAGGGAAATCCGTCATCACATGCAATAACACTCAATAATTTGGTAATTCAGAATTTATATTGATTGATTATGGTGAAGTCAATACCTTAGTATCTCATATCTTGGTTAGGTTTAGTTTAATTGTTATTTTCTTTTTATTATTTTTTTAGTTAAACTTTCTTTCCATTTGGTTGTTCAAATAAATTTGGATTAATTATTTTGGTACTTAGTTAGACACAATCTTCGTGGGTTCGATACTCTTCTCATCATTATATTACTTGGAGTGACTAGTACACTTACTAAGGTGATTTTAGTGCATCAGGTTTCATAAAATATTAATTAGAAAATGAATTTTTAGATATGTCCTCAAAAATAAAAAGAAAAAAGATGACCTGCAAAATATTTTTCCGTAGATATATAATTATAAAAAAGGAAATAGTATCCATTTACTTTACCTTCTAAAAAATAAGAGAAAAGTCACTCCAAAACTATATTGTGTTAATAAACTTGCATTGAAAGACTAAAATACCTTATTTTAAAGCATGAATTAAATTGTTTTTAATCTTTTCTCATGATGCTTTACTCAAACAATATAGTCTTAAATTAATTTTCCTCCTAATTTTTAAAAAATAAGGCAAATAAACATTAATTCCTTATAATAAACCGAGCCTAACCCAACTTAATTCAGCTTAGAGCAAGAGTATTCCCGTCCTCTTGCAATATCTAGGTATTTGGGTGGCTCTCCTTATATTTTGTTATATGTTCACATGTTTTGTTTGAATACAATTACAATGTAAGTTTCTTTGAGTTAAATAATATATATGGAAAATTATTAATAAATACTCGACTTAACACACTTTTTAACACTCATTCGGTTGAGTCATTAAAAATATAATATAATTACAATCGATTTAGCTTATTCTTATATCTTATGTGTATGGTTATATCTTTATGTTTATCTGCTTTTAATTTCAGGGCAAGAAATGATAATTTTATGAAGAGTGTGTTATATAATATGTTAAACCAGAGTGGATATACAATAAGTGCCCAATATATATATTATCTTTTGGCAAAAAAAAAAAAAAAAACAACTTCACTAATTATTTAAGAAAATAGAAAGTAAGCTGATCACGCTAGCCAAACCAAACACACCCTAACACTTCAACTTATTGATATTTTAGAGTTTAATTTTAAACAAATATTTTTTAGGTACATCAAATAATTAAGTCTTTAAATAAAGGATATCTTTCCCCATTTGTATCAAGAATGTGAACCTCATAGCTGAGGTTTCTTAGGTACTTTGAAACTCCATTAGTGACTTGAGTACACACATGTACATTTGAACACATATTAGTCTTTGAATATAGGCTTGTTTCGCCGAACATATTTTTATGAACCCATATGAAAAAGGGTAATGGGGCCATTTAGTTAATTTGTTAATTGATAAAGTTACAAAAAAGCGCAGCAATCAAAAAGACTGATCTTCTTTCTGTTCGTTCTTATCTTACCGTAACCGAAAGGCAATGGGAACGACTTGTAAAGAATCTAATTGCTTTCACCACTTTTCCACAATACTCCGTCATCCCCACATGCTCAAGAGCATTGCTATCGATGTTGATTGACACTTTCTATGAGGGATAGATCCGATCATCCAAACACGATTGAATTCCGTCCAGCCAGCTGAATGCAGTTTCCATCGTCCTTGTTCTCATATGCTTGGTCGGATCACGGGTCAACCATCGCCCTTAAACGGGTGACATCACGTCTAGCATGAATTTAAATACCTTATCACTAGAGTTAATACCTTTTTATGGACTTCCATATAACTACACTACATCACAGAAGTTTAGGGCTATTCAAGGGAAATTGTCCTATGGAAAGCTATTCTTGGGCGTCGAAATATCGACTTAAAAAATTATCCTCAAATCTTGCAAGTTATTTGATCGGGGTGTACATCCAAGACCAGTGCAGAAGGTCAACAATAGAGTTGAGCTGATTTGTGCAATTACATTTTCCTAGTTATGCGCCTAACATGCTATGCTTGTGTGCATATCGGAGGTCAAGATTCAATCCATTAGATGCAGTAAAATATATAGACTAGTTTTCAGCTAATTTTGTTACGAATTCATATGCGAGTGTACGTGGAATCTTGTATGTGAGAATACAGCAAATGTATATAGAGACATAATGAAGTTTACCCCCATAAAGTAATCTTTTAAGTTTAAATATTTGGAATACATAGGTTTTATTTAAGCAATTAAGCTCTTATTAAATTCAAATCTTTTCAATAAGTGGTATCGAAATAAATGATGCAATTCTAAAGCTTCCAGCTAAAATCTAGTCAGCACTTTTGAAAGATTTAACTTAACTTTACCACTTTTTTATTTACACGAAATCCTGCATCCGTTTTCAATTTTGACACACTAAAATCAAAGACTATCCTCTCGAAAGTTGTTCAACTCAAGATTAGATCCAAAAAGTCATAGTGACATTAAATCATTAATGAAGTGTAAAGTAGACGTAATTAGACCAGTCAGCCCACATTAATTATTGGTTGTAATCGCGTGAGAAATATTTAATTCGCTTCTTCTTAATTACAAATAGCTACCACATGCCAATTAATCTCGACATGCGCACCAAACTAAGCAATTTGCAGGGTGCGATTTTTTTACTAACAATAAAAATTTATTGTTAAGTTTTAATAGATTTACATATAGATTTACACATATCATTTGAATTAAAAAAATTAATAAAATTATATATTTTTATTATCAACAAATATTGTTCCAAAAAATCAGTAATATAAAAGTAAATAATTTTGTAAGATATGTCTACTTTTAAAATTTTGAAGCTAATTTACAAAAAAATTTACTCTCTTTTAACCCGTTTAGTTAATTTTTGTAGTGCGTCTTTTTAAGACAGTTGAGAAAGAGACTGGGCACAAGCTTTAAACAAGGCACCTTAATGTAAATAAGGGAAAACTACCGCACCCCACTAGGACCATTCCAATCTACTCTCAAATCTCAATACCCACCTAACAGCTATTTAAACGGAAACATGTGCACATAGAGTTTAGACCACATGGGTCCTGGATTTTCACTCATTGAATTGCGACAATTGACACAAGTGGCTTCAGTTCCCAAGCTCACCGATAGAGAGAGAGAGATCGTGTTCTTCTTCCGGAATGGATGTCAGAAACTGGTGCAATTCCGGCCGCGAGACAATCAGGTTAGGCGGAAGCGACGACGATGACCACAACAACCGTTCACTGAATTCTCCCTCCTGTTTTAAATCAATCGGACAGCAGAGATGGAAACTGCTGTGGATGAAGTTCAAGAAAGAGAAGAAGAAGTTTTTTGAGTCTCCGGAAACGCCATCACCTCATGTTCCCTATGATGCATATACATACTCTCAGAATTTCGATTACGGCTGTGCACGGAACGAACCTGAGAACCTCTCTCGATCTTTCTCTGCAAGGTTCGCAGTTCCTTCCAGAGTCTTCTAGTACTATATATATGTACATATATCTTATAAATTGACATCTTTTTTTTTTAGTTATATTTGTGAGAAGAAAATGATTTCTCCACTACTCCATATGTAAATTGTCAGTTGTTCCTTGAAGCAGACTTAGAGAATTTGCTATTTTCAAGAAAAAGAAGCAAATTTCTTAAATTATTTGTGTAAATTATAAATCTGGTCATTGTTCCTTTTGGGAATCTATCAAAAACGCTTTTGTTTATGTTTGATCAACATATATGAACATCTTGAATTACCATTCATGGTCCATAGCTAGATTAATTAATTATTTCTTTCGAAATATAAGGAAAAGCTGATTGTTCTCTCTACTTTCACTTTATTGGCCACCATCATTGAGTCAGGATGTTCGAGAAGAAGCTTTGATTTTTCTCAATATATCCAACCCAACTTAATTACTTATTTGATTATGAGTTCCACAACGAGAGTTAATTTGATTGTAAGTAGGGTTAGTGACACTTACAAAGAATTTTTGGTATAAATTTTAAAAGAAAGAAATTATCATAGAATATTAGATAATTTAGATACGGAAAGATTAGAGAGAATTTCCTTTTCTTGTCTTTGAATGCAGTACTTGAATGGAGGGGCCAGGATGACAACCATGTTATGGTGTTGAGGAAATGCCAAAAATGAAGTCACTTTCAGTTATGTATATGTCCTTATCTTTTAAAGAAGCAAGAAACATTTAACAGCTATATTTTAGAAGGAAAAACTATTAGCTTCCAGTCTCTATATTTTTTTTTCTAAGCCTACAGCTACCAACATTACTGTTGCTGACTTGATTTTTTTGATGACTTGTTATGACATTATGATGACATTATGATGAATTTTCGGATAAAAGCATCAGTAATCTCATTCCCTACGAAAAAATCTTACAATTCTTCGCGGGTGAATGCAAGGTAAATTGACACATGAAAATTATAACCTAATAATGCCTTGAGCTTGAAGGAAGGAGAGAATTTTCTAAGAGAATATTCTACCAAGTCCATGGCATCAATATATTCAGCCAAGAAAATCACACACCATCCAATTGTTTCAGACATGAAAGTAATATTCGCTTCTGCTCAATGGTGGTCTTGTCTATATGGATTCTGATTTCCTCTGTTTTATTTTTTATTTTTATTTTTATTTCTATGGTATGAAATGAGAGTATATTAATTTGATATAAGAAAAACACATTAGAGAAGGCATAAATGAACTTTGGGTAAAGCCTTAAACAATGCCATGAGGTTGACGGCATGTAGGAAAGAATTGTGGTATACATATATCACCACCATGAGTGCTCCCAAGAGAATATTCTACCTTGTTCATGGCATCAGAGATATTAAACCCTGAAAATGACACACCATCTAATTGTTTCCAACACGAAAGATTTGTTTGTGCTTGATGGTTGTCTCATTTATACAAATAATATGGCCCCTTATGCTGCTGCAATTAGAACTCCTTTTATATGTGTTGCCTATGCTGCTAATAAAAAAAATATATATATATATATATATGTTGCCTATGCATACGTGTCACACTTATGGGAAAAAGAAAGTATTAGAAGTTTTGATGTAAAGAATCCATTGTTGCAATTGCCACACATAAAAGTGTATGCACCTCAAAATAAAGTCTCGAGGCTATGATTGATTTAGGCATGATAGGTTGATAGGGGACGAGTGTTTGAAAGAAAAGTACCCAAAGATTGTATGGTTAGGTTGTTCGGGGACGAGGGCAGCTTCCACTTAGGTATTTAGGATTGCCTTATGTTTCCAAAAAGCTTTCTCTTGAGGTATGCTAACCTATTATTAATAGAATCCATCAAAAAATTAACTCTGGGCAACAAAATTTCTTTCCTATGCTAGTAGGGCTCAATTATTCAATTCTATGCTATTCCATATTCAAGTTTTTTGGAGTGGTGCTTAATTGATTCCTAAGAAAGTGTTGAAGTCAGTTGATGTTGCTTGTAGAAACTTTAGTTGGTATGGTAAATGGAATTACAATGCTATGTTCCTGTAGCATGGGATGATGTATGTGTGCCAAATAAGGAAAGGGGAGATAGGAGTGAAGTAGTTGCAGCACTGAAATAAGGGAACATAGGGAAAACTGGTTTGGAATATATGCCAAAATCAAATGTTTATGGGCTAGGTGGGCGTGGGTAGTGCTTTTGAGGGGTGAAAACTTTTGGAAGGCCCAAATTCCTATGGATTGTGCTTAGACATGGAGACAAGTTTTAAAGCTTCTTCCTCTGTTGAAAAATGCCATTTGGATGCAAGTGGGGGATGGGAGATAAATTTCTTTATTCTATGATTGGTGAGCAGGCAAGGTAAGGTTTTTTCAGTTGATTTCAAAGGGTGAAATTGTTGTTTAGGGCCATGCTCTTACAATTAGTCAGTGGTGGGATGTGCTAGATTGGACTATCCCAGATAGCTTCATGTAAAGGCATCCTATGCTTGTCCAGATTATTAGGAGTTAAAAACTGTCCCAACAAGTTGAAAAGGCTATGTGGAAACATGCAAGGAATGGCTTATTTACTTTTTTGGATTGCTATGAGATTTTATGAGTGTAACATCCCAAGCTTGAATGGCATAATGTTGTTTGGGTAGGGTGCATCTTCCCGCAAAATAGCTTTATTTTTTTACTGGTGTTGTGAGGTAGACTAAAAACTAGAGTTTTTTTTGGCAAATGGAGGTATGAGAATTGAGAAAGGTTGCTTCTTTTGCTACAAAAATGTGAGGAAACTTGTGAGCATTTGTTTTTTTACTATAGGTTTGCTAAGGAAGTATGGAGGTTGGTTTTAGAATTCTTAAATATTCATTGGGAGCCAAAACGATGGAGTGTTGAATGGCTTTGGCTAACGAAGGCATGCAAAGGTTGTTCGGTTTAGCCAGAGAAATTGTAGACTACCTTGGCTACCGTTATGATTTGGCAAGAAAGAAATATGAGAATATTTATTGGCAAAAGCCTACTTTTAGCCATTTACCTTAATAAGTTTATAATTTTTATCCCCCCACCTTATACTATGACAGTTTTAGCCCCTCACCTATACAAATTAAAGGAAATAGTTTTACTTAGCGTTAAGTTATAATGTTTTGTTAATTCTGTTAGCTGACTGTTAACTTTATTAACTAATTGTTAGCATTCCGTTAACGAAACTAACAAATAAAATTAAATTTAAATTTCATGTTTTTTTATAACAGAATGCTAATAGTTAGCTAACGGAGTTAACAGTCAGCTAACAGTTAGCTAATAGAGCTACCAAAACTAACAGTCAACTAATAGAGTTAATAGTCAACTTATAGAACTAATAGTCAACTAACAGAACTAACAGTCCACTAACATAACTAATAGTTAGTTAACATGACATTAAATAATGGTTATTTTCTTCAATTCATATAGGTGAAGAGCTAAAACTGTTATAGTATAAGGTGAGGGTCTAACATCTACAAACTTATTAAGGTAAAGGGTTAAAAGTAAGTTTTTACCAATATTTCTTAGCAAAGTTTCGAATGAAAGATATGTATATAATGAGATAATTGCTTTTTTAAGACTAAAGTTTTGAGAATTGTAAATCCCTGGATATGCCTAGGAGTATAATGTATATACCATCCAGTGTTCAATGGAAAAACTTGCCTTTTTTCAAAAAATAAAAATAAAAATAATTAAAAAAAAAAAAGAAAAAAAGAGCAAGCGAAAAGTGGATGACTTAGGTGTGTTAAGTGAGGGGAGGTGGATATGTGGAGATGGAGTTGGCCAAGAAGTCTCTTTGCATGGGAAGGAAGAACTAGTTTCTGAATTAACAAATCTAATTGCAAGGGTACCATCAATATCATAGAAGCCTTGTTATGGGTGATGTAGTGACAGATAAATGGTTTTTTGGGCTGGTTTGGAACAGGATTACTTCGTCAAAAGTTACAACTTTCGATTGGAGGGCATTACAAGATCGCATCCGATATCCCAACCAAAATTTAACTTTCAGAGAAGGGATATTAATCTGAATCAACAACAGATTAAGGATACTAATTGCTCATTTGTTGGATGCGTGACTTCTTACAAATTTTGGCAGCTTTGTTATAGTTGGTGGGGTTTCTATGGTGCGTTGCCTAATTCAATTGCTATGGGCTTTATTCATTCAACATGAAGGACTGATCACCGGTAAAAGGAGAAGGGAGGGAAGCGTAAATGACAATGTGGCTTTCAATGGCATGGGGAATTTGGTTTTGGCACAATCATCTGACATTTAAAGGAGAAAGAGAATGTGCAGTGAAAATTTTGGAACTTGTTCAAGTTAGATTGTGGTAGTGGATTAAAGCAAGATCAAAAGGAGTGAGCTTCAATTACATTTGATCGGTGCTTACAAGTTACAACCAATGGTGTGCCTAAACTCTCTTGTAGGGTGACATTTTTCTCTAGTTATTTAATTGTCTAGAGGTTTTGGTGAATTAATAGCTTCTATATGGATGATGATTTACTATAGGGGAGGGGAGAATGTGGTACCAAGAGGCCTAGATGCAGCCTGCTGCGGGGGTAGTATGGCCTTAGTTTGTGGAGAATGACCATAC